CCGGATCAAGACCGGACTGTATCCAATCCAATCTTCGGTCCTTATATTCTCAAAAAACCCAGACTGGACCGGATCAATTTGGGCCAATTTAACCGGACCGGACCGTATAGCCACCCCTAGCCTTCATCACCCGCCACACCACATGCTCGTGACTTGAGACTCCATCTCATCGACGAGAACCTCAAATTCAAGGAGGTTTTGGGGTGGACCGAAACTTAGCAGCCATCGTCCTGCTCACGACGTGAAAGAAGCGCTTGTTGGGAGGCAACCCAACCAGTCGGTTTGCATTTCTTTCTCTTTTTCTCCTCGGTTGAGTCAGTTTTGTTATTTGATTTTAGATTCAATGACTCAACCTTTGTGAGATTTTGTGTGGTGTTTGTGTTTCGACTACTCTCTCCTCGTGGAATGCACCACCTGCCCCATCCACCATCATTCACCCTTGATATGGTAACTTCGTTCTACCCTCCTTATCTTTCCTCCATTGAGGACAATGTCGTGCTTAAGTGTGGGGGGATGTTCGATTATGTATGCGAGTGAATGTTTGCCTGTTTGTGTACTTGGAGCCTAGTCCACTTCCCAAAATTTTGAATTTGAGGGCTCCAAGTACGTGCTTCCTTGCAAATTACCTGCTTAGTATGCTTTGAATTGACAGTCTCTATAGTAATGTGCAACCTAGGGAGGTAGTGTAGCACTATGGAGGATGTTGAAGTATAAAATTTTTCCTATCTAGCTCTCTGCTGTGCTAGTTGATTTTGTGAATTAGTGGAGCTAAGACCGTTGAATTCATGTGGTAATGGTGACTCTGTTTGGATTGTGTTATGGACTCGTGTATCGAACAGGGTGCTCATGTGATAAATGAAATGCAGTTAGTCCTCCATGTCAAAATCATTAAATCTTAAACATGGGGTAAGCCCAACGTGTGTGGCACCGTTCATTGCAAAAAATCGGGTTTTGGACGAGATTTTAGTGATCCTTGGTGGGGTACTCCTACAAGGTGAAGCTAAGCGGTCTCTAGTACAAGTAAAACTTCCACCCGTTGAACGGTTTGCCTACTTGAGGATGTGTTTTTAAGGGCACGGATAGAGCTTCCGACCCCTTAATTTCATTGACCGTCCACACGAGTTGAGGAAAAGGAGTTAAAAGAAGTACTCTGGCGAGCGCCAGATGTACAGAAATTGCTCTTGCTCGACTAATAAGGGTCGACCGTGCAAAAGACTACAGTTGGAACCCCCGCTAAGTGAATGAGAAAGATAAAAAAAAAAAAGAAGTAAAGTGAAAGTGAAAAAGGGGTTCCAACGGTGAAATGAAGTGAAAGAGCACCCCAGTACAACGAGTCCTTGGTTGTGAATGGTGTGAGTCCCTTTATCCATGAACTGACCGTCTTACTTCTACTTCTTCTCATGATCCTGGCTTGAGTCTAGTACTCGCATTGAGAAAGATAGGGGACGTCTTAGAAGACCAGTTGACCTCATAAGCTGCTTTATGATCTAGAAAGTCCTCTACCGACGATCGGGGTTGTTTGTTGCTATAGAGGTATGGAGAGTTGCATTGGTTTGAGTCAGGTTTGCTTGGGGACAAGCAAACAGTTAAGTGTGGGGGGATTTGATGACTCGATATTTGCACATGTTTTCCCCTTTGTTTCTTGATCGTTTAAGCTTGCCTTATCGCTTATTTGGCCTATTTTACGCTAGGTTGTGTTCCTTTGTCACATTTCAGGCCCTAGCACATAAAGTGAAGCATAGGCGCAAGTTTCAAGTCAATCGGAGATCATTTGGCAATTCGGGAGAAGAAACACGAGCATGACTTGAGGAATAATGGATTTATACCTCATATTATGGACAAATTATCATGGAAGTTTGTTATGAAAAGAAAGAGGACGAGACTACGAGCGTCTGGGTTCAAACGGCGACTGATTTGGAGTCCGGACGAGGGAGAAACGAAGCTTTGAACAGGAGCGGAGGAAGAATTACGGGCACGAGAATTACGACCGTAATTTCCCCTCCCATGCCCGTATTTTCACTGCCCAGAGGAGCTTTGGGTGCGCTGAAACTTAACCAAAACTCGTGTTTTGGGCAAAATATGGGCATGGAAGAATTACGACCTTAATTCAGCCTGTAATTCACCCAGAATCGGGTTTTTGAGGCAGATTCGAGCCAAAGGAAAGAGAGAGCTGGGTTTTGGTTCCCAAACACCCAAGGGACGAACCCTAGAGAGAGAGAGAGCGACTTGGGAACACTCTTGGAGCTATTTTGGAGGATTTCTTCACCATTGGAGCTCGGGAATCATGCTTGGAGTTGGAGATTGAAGATCTAGATCAGATTTCTGCAGTCTCTCTCTTCTCTATGGAGTAACTTCCCTTCACTTAGGTTTTGAGGAACCCTAGCTATGTTTGTTTGATTGGATGATTGTATGAGTACTCTTACTTGATAATCTTGAGTTCATATTCAATCTATGCATGTTTTCATGATTCAATTCTGCTTTAGTCGAGATTATTGATTCTGCTTTGATCCTATGAGAGCGAATACCTGATTAGGTCAATAGAGCACCATAGATTGATAGTAGTGGATCGATTACTTTAGTCGAGGGTTGATTCACTGCTTTGTATCGATTGAGAACCTCATTCGATAGAGGGAATCTAGTTCAGAACGCCTTGATCGGTTGTTCTAGAGAAGGATACGTCCCTCTAGGCAATTGACTCAAGAGGGCCTTGTTCCTTTAGTCGAGACTCAAGGTCTAGTCAAGGATTCTCCGCATTGTGAATGAAAGTGAAACAAGTTAGAAATCATCAATCGTTAATCTGGCTACTGGCTAGGGGGAATCATACCTAAGTGAGTTCCCAACCTGTAATTAGATTAACTTAACTGTAGCTTGTTAGAGTAGTTTTAGTTCTTCCATCTTAATCTGGTTTGCTAGATAATGAACTGAAGCTGAGTAATAGTAACTCTAGAGACCCGTGGATTCGATATTTATTACTTGAGCCACTATACTGCAGTCCCTTTCATTGGTTACACTTGGCCATTGTTAGGTGTTGTGTTTTAGCGAGTCAATCCTCTAATGCCTCATAGCACTGGCTACCTAGTTGTCTTCCCTAGGATTGCATTGTATCAATGTTACTGCCATTGTTCTTCTTGCATCATTTCTTGCCTAATGCACTACCCCAACATTGCTAAGAAATTGATGATTGTAACTCTAGGTTGATTCGATTGAGGTTAGTCTATGAGCTTTGATGGGTTTGACAATTTGTGACTTGGTCGAAGTAGGATCAAATGCTTTTGGTTATACCGAACCTTTATGGGCTTTGCACAATTGTAATATCTATCGTTGATAAACCAAGTCAAGTTGTTTACTTGTATGGAGCTGATACTTACTGGTTGTGGGGCAATCTAAGTACCATATAAAAAATACAAGGGATGAGACTCTTGCATATTAGTGCCCACCTAGCCTAATTAGTATGAGGCCTTTTAGGAAGGAACCAAAATGTAAATCCAGGCTTGGTCCAATGCGGACAATTTTGTACAAATGGTGCTATCCGATTTCGACAAGTGGTATCAGTGTCTAGTCGGTTTGGATTAGAGGCGGTGGACGTCAGTTGGTGGAACCCTCATTCCGTGGCCTCGTGATTTAATATATGCATTTGTTTTGCGAATCCATGAGAGATTCGCGTTTGTCTGACATATTAAGTGAGATATACATTTAGTAAATCCTTGTGTCGAGTAAATTTTGCGATACAAGTTTTCTGGTAGATCAAAATAATCAGTGAGTAGAGGACACGAAATTTGTGGTCTTTATCTTGAGGGGAGGATTGTTGTGGGACAATCCAAGTACCACATCGAAAATACAAGAGAAGAGAATCTAGTATATGTGTCCACATATTCCAATTAGGACGAGGTGTTTTGAGAAGGAACCCAAAAGCAAAGATGTGTTAGATTGATCTAATGAGGAGAAATCAGAATGAGTTACTATAATATTCTAACAGTTTATGTTCAAATTGATGTGACATGTAACAAAGTTTGTGGCTAACTGCCAAACTTTAGGATGGGTACGTAAAGGAAACTCTAATGACTTGCTGCCTATGTTTGGCCCGACTTTTAGAAGTATTTTTCGGCTTCAAAAGCTGAATCAGGGAAAAACACCTCTAAAAGCTCGGCTTTTGAAAAGTCGAAAACGCTTTTGTATAAAATAAAAGCAGAAGCTCCAAGCTGTTTTGAAAATACAAGATTATCCTTTCCATATTTTAATTTTTTTTCCAGAAAATATAATTTTATTCATTTATATAATTTTAAAAATAAAATATATAATTTAATATAAAAGAAATCTAACAAAATCCTTTTTGACTATTTTTTATTGTTTACAATTTTTATTCATATTTTATATTATAAGTGTTTTATAATCATTTTACACAACCTCTCATATTAAAAAATACTTCTAATAGCTTTTCACCAATTACTCAACTGTTGTTTTTTTTTAAATATACTTCTCTAAAAGTTCTAGCTAGAATCTACATCTACAAAATCTGCAAGGTCAAACTAGCCCGCTATATCATTTGGGGACACCACTAGTAAAGAATTTGTAATTTTGAATTCTATGTTTTGGGAAGCCTCACTTTTGAAACATTGTGTGCTAATAAATTACAGAATGGGTCTGCTGCATTTTTTAAATAAATTATTGCATGATTATGTTCTTGTTTATGGTGGGAGCTGCATCCACCTGCCTATTGGCTTCAGCGTTGTGCCTTTTTTTCCTCATCCTTTTTCCTATCGCCTTTGATTTCACTATTTATGTCTTCATGCTTTCGCCGCGATATATTCCTTTGTTAGTATATTCATATTTTCTCCGTGTTTGCCGTCCGTCGTCCTTTTCTATGCATTTGAGATTTGACACATTCACAAGAGGTATATAAATTGGCCGGGAAAAGTGGCCCAAAAGCCAACTTGCAATGATAGCTAGCTAGGCAACGCTTTATCAAAACATATTTGCGCAAAGCTTAGCCAACACAAAGAATGGGTTCGGAATCTTCTTCTCCCAAGCTGCTCTTCTTAGACTTCTCAAAGCCAGAAGTCATGACACAAGGTAGTCCAGAGTGGGAAACCCTTAGATCCCAAGTCCGCGAGGCGCTCCAAGAGTATGGCTGCTTCGAGGCGTCCTACGACGACATTCCGTCCCACGCTCGCAGTGCCATTTTCGGAGCCACGAAAGAGCTTTTCGAGTTGCCTCTGGAGACCAAACTGCGGAATGTGTCCGAGAAACCGTTCTACGGCTATATAGGGCAAGTTCCTGGGCTCCAGTTGTATGAAAGCTTGGGGATAGATGATGCCGATGTTTCAGAAAAGGTTGAAACCTTTACCAACACGTTGTGGCCTCAAGGAAACCCAAGTTTCTGGTAATCACTATCTCTACACATTGTCCTCTTATTTTATTTGGGGAGAGTAATATTTATGTAGCTTAATTACTAGTGAGCACATTCGTAATCATGTTTGTTGATATCATTAGTATATGAAATTCTCGCAAGTATAATTTCAAATAAATATATGGAAGCAAAAAAACACTAAAAATGATAATGACATGGCCATTTTGTACTTTTCCTACAAATTTTTGTGCACAAATCAACATCATTGTTAACGTTCACAATAAATCAGGACTAATAACAACTAAACTCAATGGTGACCAAAGAGGAAGATTAAGCATTACTAGCAAGGTTGTCAAACCGACTTAAACAGTTAAGCAGTACTGATATGTTTCGATAGGAATATAAATTTATTATATGTCAGTTTATGTCGATTTAAAAAAACATGTGAGAAAAGTGGGAAATCATTAACACCAAATGATTTTTCCACATGTATAGTCTATCTTAGTACAATCTCCCTATAATCCACATTCATATTTAAATAAATTAGCACATTGCAAACTAATTGAAAAATCATCATATTTAAATTTAACTATTAATATATTAATATATAAACATTTATACTTGAATCCATCTAATAGTGGGTTACCAATTTTGAATACTACTTCATACCTATAGACTTTTAATTAATTGTTTCCAATATAAATTGAATCCAATTATACCGAGCGATATACCTGTATTTTGACAATCATATTTATCAGGATTGGGTCCTCATAGTCATAGACGTTCTTTCTCGCCAACAATCCCATTAATTATTGGCTTGTACGTGACGAGAATATTTGACGTTAGAAACCGAAAAAAGAAAAAGCGACTGGAGGTATACTTTAGTATATCAATAATTATGTCCTCGTCGCCAATTGGTTTTTTTTTGGCAGCAAAACAATTCATTCATACGCAGAGCAGCTTTCGAAACTGGACAAAATAGTGAGGACGATGATTGGTGAAAGCTTTGGACTTGACAAATACATGGATGAACACTTCGACTCCACAAACTACCTGTTGCGGGTCATGAAATACAACTGTCCCAACAACCTTGATAATATTGCACTTGGGATGAATTCCCACACGGACAAGAATATCGTGACCATATTGCTTCAGAATCAAGTTGAGGGGCTAGAAGTGCAAACCAAAGATGGCAGCTGGATTAAATTCCAACCTTCTAGTCCAACCTCTTTCATCGTTATAATTGGTGAAGCTCTCAACGTAAGTTATATTCTCCCTAGTACAGCAAAACAGTCGTCCTTTTAGCGACCACAAAGTTGGTGGCCGAAAATTTACAGAGTCGATAACGAAAGATTTTGACAATAATTTTGTTTTGGCAGGCTTGGTTGAACGGCCGACTGTATTCACCGTATCATAGAGTTATGATGACTGGAAATGAGGTCAGATACTCTTTGGGTTTGTTCTCAGTCCCTAAAGCTGGCTATATGATCAAAGCCCCAGAAGAAGTGGTTGACAAACAACACCCATTAGTGTTCAAGCCCTATGATCATGCAGAATTTCTTTCCTTCTACCACACTGAAGCAGGCCGAAGAGCAACATCTGCTTTGCATGCATACTGTGGAATCTAATGTCACTAAGATCATATGGGCGGTGTGTCCCTACGTTTCCTTGTGATTAGTTATGAATAAGAGAGTTATAAATCGAAGATAATTGGCACTTTGATGATTTTTTTGTGCTAATTATTCATAAAAGAATAGGTTTGGGTGTGCTAATCGTATGCGAAAATAATTAGCCATGTGGTGATTTGACCATTGGGCGTGGGGTTTGTATTGGTGTTTGTATTATGTTGTTGGCATGCATGTATATTTTAAGGTCCAATTAAAGAGTGTAATTGTGGAATGTGGCGTAAAAATGGGCGTGGATCGTGATTTTGTAGTCGGAGTGCATGGCTTTGATCCATAAATAGTTGAATGAAGCAATGGAAATCCGGACTGAGATCGTTATCATATATGCAATGACAATATGCGACATATTCTTGGCGGAATGGGAGAAGGTATAGGGAGTTATATCTCCATTGGCAAGTACCAAACATATGACCTCATGCCATTGGCAATACACATTATGGCGCATTCGGAAAATACATTACTACATGAGTCAGTTCTTTGGCATGATAGGCCTCATGTCTTTCTAGTTGAACAATGTTATTGTTGGAAAATGTAATATCAATTTCTGATTAATGCAAGTCACATGATTCACAATAAAAAAGGATATGTACAAAATGACGGTCAGTAGCTTTTAGTGATGGTTAGAGCCGTTGCTAAAAATTTTAATGTATTTATGAAATATTTATTTAACGACGGTTGCCTGGAAAGTTAGTGCCGGTTACAGGCGTCGCAAAAAGTTGCTGACGGTTGACGCGGCGGTTGAACAAAATCGTCGCTAAAAAATTTAAGGACAGCGGGGTCAGTGGCTGTTAATTGGTTGTCATTAAATATTTTAGCGATGGTTTTGACCGTCACTAAAAGTCTGGGTACTGTCGCTAAAACACAGTTTTGTTGTAGTGCTAGCTCATGTCCAACTACTATCTACCAAACATGTGGTCTAACAATTCAGTTTGGACCCTACTGTACACATGGGTCTTGAATTAATCAGAAATTGGTATTACATTTTATTGTGAATGAATGATTAATCAGTTTGGACTCAATTCAGTTTGAGAGATGTTACAAGCCTCATTGCAAAAGTTTCTCTCTCTTCCTTGAAATCTAATTTTTTTTATGTCAGGACAGCAACAACGGGTGTGGAGTCTCTCGTAAAGCGAGAGTTGCGGAGCGGCGGAACCTAGGGTTTCTCTAGGTTTTCCGAGTTCGATAGTGAGATTGATTTCAAGTCGGAAAAGGTTTACTTGTTTCCAATCGGAAACGAGTATTGATCACAGCTGTGGAGCTGATCACAGCTTATAAAGACGATTTGTTGGAGCAAAGTTTGAGTGCGTTACACAAGGAGTACGAAACCTAACCCTAATTCTGGGACTTTGGTACTCTTGGTAACTATTGAGTCAACTACTTGTGCACTACGCAAACGATGGAGGCAAAGGATCCTGTTGAAGCTGGAGTAGAGGGATCCAACATGGAACCAATGGAGCTGCGCAGTACAGCTGAGAGTTTGGAACGGGACTTGGACAAAATCACCCTGGAAGATGAGGATGATACTCCTCTTGATGTTGAAGATAGCGATGTGGATCTCGTCAGGATGGAGGCTGTTCGACAACTGGGTCTGATTGGTCGACTGATGTCTGACAAGCAACCAAATATTAAGTCACTAAAAATAGCTTTGACGAAGGCTTGGAATCTGAAAAAAGGGTTTCAGATCACTGACCTGGGGGATATGTTATATGCCTTCCAGTTTCTGGATCTTGATGACAGGAACAAAGTCTGCTTCGGAGGTCCCTGGCATTATGAAAATAATGTTATGGTCTTCATATCGAGCCTGCTCATAAAGAAACCTACTCCTGAGGCACTACATATGATTGATATTTGGATCCAGATTAAAGAATTCCCAGCGGAATTGAGAACACAGACTATGGCGGAAAAGATAGCAAACATGTTTGGTTCTCTAGTCTGGTTCGATGACAGTTCAGGAACTATGTGGGACACATACATGAGAATGCGAGTGAGCATATCCATCAACAACCCTTTGAAGAAAAAGATCAAACTGAATATAGGGGGGAAGTTGGTGGATTACCTTGTGAAGTATGAAAAGCTGCCGATGTTTTGCTATTCTTGTGGGCGTATAGGACACCCGAAATTGAGGTGCCCCAAGCCATCGGGTCTGGTTCCTGATCCTTTTGGGTCAGACTTAAGAACCAGTCCTCCAGGACCTCGAAATTGGCTGTCTTACACATCAAAGAAAGAGGATGCTGAGGTGTGGGCGTCTCTGCGAAAAAAGTTTGATATGGAGAGTGTTAGTTCCAACTCATGTGGCGACAGAGCACCCTCTGAAGAACTAGCAGAGCCTAATTTTGCTAGAAACACATCTGAGATGGCAATTGGTAATGAAGAAACTCATCAGAAGAAACAGGAGATCACGAGTGATGGACCAAAAGGAAATCCTCAAGGTTGCAGCACTGAGAAGGTTATGGGAGAGGGTCCAAGGGATCCTGTGCAACCTACAGAGGAGATGAGGACACCACAGACAGTGGGTGGGCGGTCCCAGTACCAGAAGAAAGGGGAGGATACCATTCAGCCCTCGATGAGAAAGATATCAAATGGGGGTGCCCTACACCAGTTTGTCATGGGCGCAAACAACACCTGGCCTAGTAAAAGGCATCACAACAGGGTATGGAGACGTCAAGAGCAGACTGTTCCAAGACACACAACTAAGATTCAAATCACCCCACAGAAGAGGGGGGAAGAAGACTGCACTGAGGCTGAAGCTAGAGAAAAAGAGATTCAAAACCAGACAAAGAAAGCAAGGGTGCTCAATTTTGAAGAGGGTGAGACTCTGAACACTTCTGAACCAAAACTAAACATGGATGGCGGAGAGGCGGACCCTGTCAAGGAACAGGGCCGCCCAGCTCAATGAGCATTATCAGCTACAACTGTCGTGGGCTGGGGAAAACCATGACAGTTGCTCGAGTAGCTCAGCTACTAACTGAACAGGACCCCAGCATAGTGTTTCTCATGGAAACAAAGAAGAAAGAGCATGAATGGGAAGATACCATACAGAAACTGGGATGGACCAAAGGCCGAGGGGTTGGATCGAGAAACAGAGCAGGAGGGCTAATCATGATGTGGAAGGAAGAAATGACTGCTGAGGTGAAGACTGCCACTCAGAACTACATTGATGTAGTGGTAACAGAGGGATCAAAGGATAATAAGTGGCGGTTAACTGGGGTGTATGGTTGGCCAGAGCAGGAGAACAAGCCTAAAACTTGGGAACTAATTAGAAGACTTCATGGTCAGTCAAACCTGCCATGGATTCTATGTGGGGACTTCAATCAGGTCCTAAGTTACGAAGAGAAGAATGGAAGAAATCCTCTTGATATCCAAAATATGGAGGATTTTCAAATCACTTTAGATGAGTGTCATCTAGAAGATATGGGGTACTATGGACCTATGTTTACTTGGGATAATGGTAAAACAGATGAAGATTTCTTAGAGCAAAGGCTGGACCGAGCTGTGGCTAATATCGAGTGGAAGAATGTGTTCCCTGAAGCACGTGTGGTTCATCTTGATAGATGGACTTCAGATCACATCCCCATTAAAATTGAACTTAATCTACAAGAGGAGCAGATAAAATGGGGATGGCACTTCAAATTTGAGGCTTACTGGCAGAAGCATGAGGAATGTGGCCCTATCATTGAGAATGAATGGAAAAAGGATCCAGATCTACCTCTGGAGGACAGGATTAAGAACTGCGAGAAAGTACTACTTGAATGGGGAAAGAAAACTTTTGGCAACCTGAAAGTGAGAAGGAGGAAGATAGAGCGAGCCCTAGCAAAACTATCAAAAGCAAAAAAGAATAGGGCTGTCCTACTACAACATAGGGCACTGGAAAGGGAACTTAATGAGGTGCTTGATCTGGAAGAAATTAGGTGGAAGCAGAGGTCTAGATCAGACTGGTTAAAGGAAGGTGACAAAAACACTGGTTTTTTCTACCGCAAGGCTTCTAACAGGAGAAGACGAAACACAATTAAGGAATTGCAAGATGAGAGTGGTACTACTTTCAAAGGACAGGAGGGAGTGATGGCTTGTTTCATTGATCATTTGATCAAACTTTATACTGCTGAGCAGACACCTAGTATCAGTGAGGTGTTGGAAATGGTGGAACCAAAAGTTACTCCCCAAATGAATCAAGAACTTATGAAGCCGTTTTCAAGGGAAGAAATATTTGAGGCCTTATCACAAATGGCACCAACTAAGGCACCTGGATCAGACGGGATGCCAGCACTGTTTTTTCAAAAAAACTGGGCCACGGTTGGAGACACCGTTTGTTTGGAGCTCCAAAGAATTCTCCTAACTGGGGTGGTTCCTCCCACTTTGAACCACACCCTGCTAGCGATGATACCTAAGACAAAGAAGCCAATCTCCCTTAAGGAATTCAGGCCAATAGCATTATGCAAAGTTCTTTACAAGATCCTGTCAAAGGTAATAGCAAATCGACTCAAGCCTATTCTGGACGGAGTTATTACAGACACTCAAAGTGCTTTTGTCCCGGGGAGGAATATCACAGACAATATTATGATTGGTTTTGAGTGTTTTCATGCAATGAAAAACAGGAAACAAGGGAAGAAGGGATTTGTGGCAGCTAAGCTAGACATAGCTAAAGCTTACGATCGTGTGGAATGGAATTTTTTAGAAGGGATAATGTTGAAGTTGGGGTTTGATGTTGATTGGGTGAGACTGATTATGAGCTGTGTGACCAGTGTTAGTTATGCGGCTTTAATTAATGGGCACCAAACACAGACTTTTAAACCTTCAAGAGGATTGAGGCAAGGGGACCCTATATCCCCCTACCTCTTCCTCTTATGTGCTGAGGGTCTTTCAGCATTGACAAGAAAAGCAGTGGCAGAGGGGAAATTTTGAGGAATCAAGATTAGCAGCAATGGACCAATGATTACTCATCTGTT